TGTATGTATGTATGTATGTATGTATGTATGTATGTATGTATGTATGTATGTATGTATGTATGTATGTATGTATGTATGTATGTATGTATGTATGTATGTATGTATGTATGTATGTATGTATGTATGATGTATGTATGTATGTATGTAGGTAGGTAGGTTTGTTTGTATGTATGTACGTGTGTATGTATGTATGTATGTATAATGTATACAACCTCATAGACGTATAGAGGATAGGCAAAGAACAATAGGAACAAGACTAGAAACTTATACATGTTTAGACCAGACCCACCAACGAACGATCCATCCACTAGAGACCTTTAAATTAGGAAAAGAAAGAAAAGTTATATTTACATATAATATAATATAATAATAATAATTTAAAACTAACTATAAAAATAATTGTAATAATAAATAATAATAATTTAAAACAAATTTTAAGAATAATTGTAATAATAAATAATAATAATAATTTAAAACTAACTATAAGAATAATTGTAAGGCAATAATAACCAAGGCAATAACCAATAGCGCGAATACAACTTTCACAATATTGTTTCTGATATAAAATCCAACTACAACATCTAATAACGCCAAAAAATCATAATAATGCCGAAAAATAATGATAAAACCAAACAACAATCACACAACAAAAACAACAAAAATAGCCATCGTCACGAAGATAGAGCAACAAACCCTAACTTAAAATTCCTGGGGAAATAAATTTTCTTCAACCTCCTCTGTTCGACCTGCTTCAAGAGGTTACACGCGTTGTACTGTTTCTTCTTTACGGCCAGCATGTACGGTGTACAACCATTCTTGTCCCTGACCGTAATGTCCACTTTGTCCTAATTTTTTTATTTTTTAGTTTCGGTCTGTTGTCAGTTGGGTGACCAGGTTGTTTAATGTCTTTTATGCGTAAGTAAAAGTGAAAGTAGATAACATCAACAAAGACAATTGTACTAATAACAATAATAATAATAAATACAAACAATGATAATATATACAAACAATGATAATATATACAAACAAAGATAATAAATACATACAGTGATAACATATACAAACATTGATAATAAATACAAACAATGATAATTTATACAAACAAAAAGCACCAACAATTTCGCAGAGATCCCTGACGACATCAACTGACCCACGAAGGCAGGCAAGATGAACGGGTGTCTGCTGGTGACTGTCTGGTTGTTCAGGGTCGTAGCCAAAATACACTAGCATCCTAACCATTGGAACTTGTCCTAAGGACGGTAGTGATGATGGTGTGGCAGTCATATTTTGAAAATTTTTATTAATTTTTCTATTTTTTTTTTTACATTTATAAATTCTTTCTTAGATTTTTATTTTTATAACTCACCATTGTAAGCCGCCCAATGTAGTGGCCCATCACCGTCACAATCAACAAAAACCTGTACACATATGTGTAAGTCTGAATTTCTTTGTGTATGTGTGCGAATGTTTGTATACATGTATGCTTATGTATGTGTATAAATGTGTGTGTATGTTTGTATACATGTATGTGTATGAATGTGTAGGTACGTATGTATCTGTATGTGTATGAATGTATGTGTATATATTTAAGTACATTTGTATATAAATGTAGTATGTAGTTGTATGCAGTAATGTAACAGTAGGATTTACATTACTAATAAAAAAAGTGTATAGAATTATAAGTATCAGCATTCTTATCAGCATTCATATCATACCAGCAGTATAAGAACAGGTTGAACTAAAATTATGATAATGAAATAAGGTAAGATTATAATTAGTATCACTATACAACAACAACAACAACAACAACAACAACAACAACAACACACGTTTAGACGACATTTTCCCCGAGATCGGGGGTTGCCGTTTGGCTACCTATGATGAAACCGAAATACCCCTCGACGCCATTCCATCATAAGTAATTTATTTGGCTAATTTTTACGCAGGACGCCCTTCCTTACGCAACCACAGTTATAAGCGGTGGGCCTAGCCATTGATGATCCAACATCACTCACAAGGCAGTGAGGGTCAGTTTAATGTCATAACCAGGACATGATTAGTATCACTATAAATGTATAAAATTTATGTATAATTGTCGTTTGGTACCTTTGAGGCACCTTTCGAGATGAGGAAAGCTCCGACGCTACACCTTCCATTTTGAGCAGCAGCTATGAGCGGAGTTTTGCCTTTTTTGTCTTGGATGTCTATTGATACACCTTGCTAAATCATGTAAAAAAAAAGAGTTTAAAATTCAAAAATAATTTTATCGTAGATTCTAAAAAAATAATTCTTTAATAAATTAGATTATTGCAAATGAAAATTTTATAAATTTGAGTGAAGGCATTTGCTTATTAAAAAAAATTAAGATGACTCATCTTAATAAATCTGTAAAAATATCAAATAACTCTAAATAAACAAACAAATAAATAAAATATATTATTAAATATTCTATAAATAAAACAAAAAATAAAAAAAAAAATAAAAGAGAATAAAAATCCACCTGCAATAATATTTCAACGATATGCAAGTGCCCCTCATAGCATGCCCAATGTATCGGCCTCTGCCCAATGTCATTTTGAGAGGGTTCATTAATGAACCCATCGCACTCGATGATGTAGTTTAATAACAATTTATTCCCATGAAGGCAGGCCCAATGCGCTGGGGTATTTCCCTTTTCATCAAAGGTGTTGAAGGCACCTGGACCCTGCACCTCTACTATGCTCTGGACCGCCATTAAAATCCTAAGGTGTTTTTTTTGATTGATTGGTGAAAATAAAATAAAAGATTATTAAAAAATTAAACAAGTTAATAGTTTGTTCTGTTAGTATTTAGGATATTAAAGAAATAGTTCATATAAAAAATAAATTAATAATGTAAATCACTTAATCCCCGCCAATGGTTTTTTCTATTAGTAAATTATTTGGCATTACTTTTGGTTTAGTAAGTTAGTTTTTGCAGCTGATCACACTACTTCTACACTACACTAATATATTATATTTGAAGAGGCCAGCCACCTGGCAGCTGGCAATTTCATTAACTAACAGTTAACATGTCAAATTTCAAAATAGTTTAAATTTAAATTAAAAAATACAGCAAACTGCAAAAGTAAAGCGAAAAACAGAAATTTTTTAACAATCAAGTCCCAAATAAAATAAAACTTGATAACAATAACTTAAATTTAAATCAAAATTAAAAATAAATTAATTAAAAAATCAGATAGAGAGATTAGTAGATTATACCAATAACAAATCACTTATATAAGAATGGACTTAAACCTTAATGGTTATTGTTAATTAAATTATTTAACTTTAACCATTAAAAAAAGACCATTTAATTAATTAAGAATATTAGCCCATACCATAGCATGATATACATAATTACATACATACCCTGATTTGACAGCGGCAAAGATATTAGAACCGTCCTTAAATGAATCATCGCTATTGCAAGCTTTGCAGTTGACGCTTGTGTGAACTGATGTCGACATTTTTAAATTAAATGGCTAAAAACACATAAAATTTGAAAGTTTTACCGGAGTACTACACCACCTCTGAAATAAATAATCCTAACTTAAATTCACTTTTGTTTTAAAAACGAGATTAGTCAGATGTTAACTTTTCGACTGGAACCACACTTGAACATTTTCATACGGTACCAAACCTACGAACGCGCTGCTAAAACGATAGCATATCATTCTTTTTACATGAAGATACGAATGCAAATTAATAACCACCATCAGTTTTTGAAAATTTATATTTAGTTATAAAAAAACATGAGACTAAAAAATGGACAGTATTGTGTGTGTACGTGTAGTAGTGTGTATGTACATGCATCACTTTGAGAAATTTTAGTATAAAACTCAGGAGCAAGACACAAGTCACAAGTCACTAGTTCGTTAGTCAGAGACTTCATTATCACTCAATTCTTCTATCTGTTATTGATTAACAAGATAATTAATTAGTTAATTAATTGATTAATTAATTGTTAAATTAATTAATTAATTAATTATGCATTTAATTCATCGAATAGTTTACTTACACAATGATGAGTAAGCTTTATTTAAATTTAGACAAATAATAAAAACCGTTAAAAATGAAAAAACCATGAATCGTCATAAATATGTAGTAAATTAACTGTCAAAGAAAAAAATGTCAAAAACACACAAACACGAGGCCCCCACACACACACAGATATACACACACACACTAATACCTTAATATCCTTAGTATCTGTGTGGAGTTTAGTCAGGCCGGTCAATTCCTCCAATGAAGATGGCTCATTGATGGATTTGACGAGAAACTCGATACCGTCTCGTTTGTACGCTTCCAGAACCTGATTGAGTTAGTGAAAGCGATTAGTAATGGGTGAAATTGGGGGATAAATTGAATAAATGAATTGTTGGATGGATAAATAAATGAATAATAGGGTGAATGAACTAGTTATTGATTTACTTAAAAAAAAGGTTAATGGTTTTTCTAGAATGATTGGTTGGTTGATCGAATGAATGAACGAACGAATGAATGAATAAATGAATGAATGAACAATTGAATAAACAAATGAATGAATAAAAAACTATAAAAATATAATAAGCAATAATAATTATAAATATTATAATGAAATGTATTCACAGGTTGTGAGCAGGCCGTGCACATGTTAAATGATCTGCAGACTGGCATAATGTTGCAAAAATTCGACAAAAAACCTCTTATCTATGGAGATAAAAAAAATTGATTATAAGTAATTAATAAATATAATAAATAATAACAATAATAATTATTATTATAATTATAATTATGACTGAGTGGCCAAACTCGAAAAATTTACCTGATGAGGTATGGCTCCCAGAATGGAAACCTCCTTGGAGTCAGGTAGGCCATCGACCGATTCATTTACAATTTCGGCGCTAGCCTGACCTCTGGTGACAAATAAAAAAAACCGAATTAACGTGACAGATACAAAAAGATACAAAAAGATGGAATGAAACATTCAAAACATTTTAGCGCGCAAAACAGGACCAAACAACTTTTAACTATCATAATCCCATCATCCTCATCATCATCAACAACAATATTAACTTAAGTGGATGATTAAGTAGCGACACAAGCAACTCGACAGCCAGGGAGGCAGCCACATAAGGCACACCCAGCCTCGTTACTGTGCACTGCTGATCCAATGATCTGTCTAGGTGCGACTGTTTGCGATGATGACGTGGTGACGGTGACGTCATGATGATGTAGCGATGATGATGATTAATAAGTTGACGGTGATATATAGTATTCTAACCAAACCCAGCCATACACCAGTACACAAGCATCAACAGCACCAACATTTCCAGGGGAGAAGATATCATTACAGAAGTAGCATCCCAGCTGCGAGCCAGGCACAACCTTCCAAGCACCCTCCACCCCATCCGACTTGGTGACCTCTGAGAAGCCTACCCCGTGCCTCATGATTAGGTAGCTGTCGAATCCGAGGGCCACATTCAAGACAATCTAATTTTAAAATAAACGCATATTACAAACAAGTAGATAGATAGACAACTAACCAATGAAATAAAAGGTTTTTCGTCACCTCCACTAACTACATACTCTCTTACTTAATAACAGTTAACCGTTTCGGAGTTTTATTTTTACCGCTTAAACAACAACCGGCCAATCACGTGACGATATAAATAATAATCAACCAATTACACTACATTACACTACGATCAAGTTTATGACCTAGAAAATCAAATTTAGAGACCATTCTCCCTCCGCGAAATGACTTAAATGGATAAACAACAGACAGACAGACAGACAAGTAACGCGTATCATTAAATTGGCGCATCATGAACTCTTATACACGACAGATAGGATATCGTCGCGTTTGAAACCGCTTCACTTCGCTTCCTTTCCTGCTCCACTGACCTTTTCCATCGATCTTCCGAGCAGTGTAGGTAGCCAGCGACTTTCCCTGGTGTCCATCAGTAAGAAGATGACGTCATGAGCGCGGATGAGTTCGATGAGGTGTGTTATGTCTTGGCACGTGCTATCGTGCAGTTGTGCTGTATGTGTGTGCGTGCGTGTGTATGTATGTATGTGTCTGTATGTGTGAGCGTGCGTAAGTATCTATGTGTGTGTGTGTGTATTTGTGTGTGTGAATGAAAGAATGAATGATAGTGTGAATGTATACAGATGTTGATACCTGGAATGGGGTGACCAGGCATAGGAATAAATAGATTGATGCCGACCGCATTCTGAATTGTGGAAATAACAACATCGTTGAATAATCTTATAATCTTAACGTATAATCTTAAATTCTATTATATGGTTTCCTGATAAAACGAGCTAAAAAGTTGAGCTAACGTAGCATGCATGTACAAGTAACAATACAAAAACATACAAACAAAACTCATACAAATACAAAATTCCAACAAAACATACAAACACAAACATACAAACACAAGAAAAACAAAACGCCAACCGCCAAAGGGAATATTTGTTTGATAGAAGCTGCAGCGCATGCAACCTTAGGCTTCCCGCCATCTAGACAATCACTGAAATTAAAAAGAGACTGCCTGACTGGGTTGCTGTACGAAACTCGAGCGTTGTCGACGAATGTTATGTTCCTAACACCCCAGCCCTGTTCAGTCAAACAACCAGCCAACCAATCAACTCTCTGGCAATACAAAACCAACCAACCAATCAACTCTCTGGCAATACAAAACCAACCATCCAATCAACTCTCTGGCAATACAAAACCAGCCAACCAATCAACTATTTAACAATACAACCAGCCAACCAATCAACTATTTAACAATACAACCTGTCAAATACTTTTTATAAAATAAACAAGCCAACCAATTGACTATTTAACAGACAACCAGCTAACCAATCAGCCATCAGACATCACAATCGACCAACCAATAAGCATCTCGCAACGTTACAGCCCAGCGTGCCAGAACCCAGTAACAAGCATCGTGAATTTGAAATAACTTCAAGGTCGAGGTCAGGGACCAGACGCCACTTCATCAACTTCAAGTTCAAGTCAACAGCTGATTCTGATAAACTGAATGAATGAGTAAATGAATGAATGAATGAATGAACGAACGAACAAACGAACGAATGAATGAATGGTTTGATCAATAGAAGAACTAAGGATAGATGAAGAAATGAAAGACTGAAAGTATGAATGACATTGGAGACGAATGAAAAAACATATAAACGGAAAATTAAAAATAAACAAATAAAAAAACTTGTAAGGGTCCATGCCAGAGCTGAGATCTAAAAACCTAGGTCCTAATTGTTCCTTGCTGTTTCTCTCCCAGCCAATCACATTTGGACAGTCTGTTTGATTAACCAATCAAACTAAAAATAAAATTGAAATAATAAATTGAATTAAATTAAAAAGAAACCAATTTCAATCAATCAACTGTTTAATCAACTAACCAACCAACCAACCAACCAACCAACCAACCAACAAACCAACCAACCAACCAACCAACCAACCAACCAACCAACCAACCAACCAGCCAGCTAAACCAACCAACCAACCAGATTGTGGATCAATACGAACAAGACAGACATTAAGGACAATACTATGACTAATGTGCCTAACACCATTGCTCGTCCTATCTCGAAGACAGAGAACTCTGACCTTACCATTCAGTAAATCATAACTGTACGGGCAAAAAAATTAACAAAACGTGACGCTGTTATGGTTAAGACGCCTGGCAATGATTTCGTATTGACCGGATTCAAATGCAATGAGATCTCCACCTATCACGTACAACGTGCCTTTGCTGTGGACACCTCAAAAAAAAAGAAAATTGAGATAAAGACAATAGAAAAATTATTTCAAAAATTATAGGAAAATTATTATATTTATTATTATTATTATTACAAACAAGCGACCAATGAGTGGACAGCAGTACAAGGAGATTTCTTAGCGACCAGCCTGGTTTTGAATTCGCAGTCGATGGATCGGCAAATCCTAACATCTATGTGAATAATAATGAGAATAAAAATATTAATAAATAATAATATTAATGAATAATAATAATAATAAATTATGATAATTGAATGAGAACATCACGAACAATATTTGTATTATTAACCTTATTAATAATAAAAAATGACTGTAACGAAATAAAAAAAAATAAAAAAAGTTACGACATTAATCAACCGCGAAAATATAATAATATTGTAATGATAACAATAATAATAATAAATAAATATTATTTTCGTGAAAATTTCTGACAATTTTATGATCTTTCTTTTCTTCCTCATTCAGTGACTGAATGTAACTAAATGGATGAACGTTCATGTCATTCTCGTCTATTAGGAAAGCACAACACGAATTTTTAGACTGCTGATGCTGTAGAAGTTCATTCTTAAACTTGTCATAATTTTCCACAAACTTCTGCATCTGAAAAAAAATAATAAAGAAAAGTTTCATGAATTAATAATATAAGGTTACTAAATATCAAATGAAAACATTGTTTGAAAAAACATGTATGTATGATATGTGTGTTTATGTGTGTGTGTGTATGTGTGTGTGTGGTGTGTGTGTGTATGCAAGTATGTACTGTATATTTATATTGCTGTCATTCTTCATGTTGACACCGAGCCCCACACAAATCTCAGACCTTGTCCAAGCTGAAACAATCATTGACATTGACAGGATGGCCTTCGATGGTAAATTTTTTATTAGGACAGAGGGACGGGAATAAGCACCAGTAGTGAAAAGTGAACTTTTTCAAATTCTAGGAAAATAAATTATTATTTATTTTTATTCATTTGTCATTTAATTTCTTTATTTATTTTTTTCAAATTATGATAACCTATACAGTCATTTGAAACTATTTTATACTAAAATAAAGATTTTATTTGATAAACAAAACAAATAACTACATTAGTGTTACAAAATTAATACATACACACACACACACACACAAAACACACACAAACACTCACGCACTCACACATCACAGACACACAAACAAACAAACAAACAAAGATGCACATAGACACATATACTAACGGGGAATGTAACCAATGAAAATCTATTTAACAAAGATGGGTCTTTAAATGGACCTTTTGTCATTACCTCTGACCATATCTAAGGAAAGAAGATATAATTCTTTCAGAAATTTTTCCTACAAAAGTTGGACATGAATTTAAAAAACAAGTAATAGAATAAATCGCAATAATAATAACAAAAATTATGATAAAATAAAATAATAATGATAATATTTTAAAACAATTTTTCCTTCGTCTTCTAAATGTTTGGTGTAATTGACATTGTTAAAGTCTTCAATGGTTCATAAGGAATAAATAGCAATAATAATAACTACAATTATAATTAAAATAATAATAATAATAATAACAATAATAATTATAATGATAAATTTCTAAAACCATTCTTCCTTCATCTTCTAGATGTTTGGTGTAATTGAAATTTTTAAAGTCTTCAATGGTGTTTAAGATTTTTAGACTGCCAAGGACTTTATAATGTTTGGTACCAACATCGTCGTCTCTGATGAAAATATAACATGATTATAATTAACTCATTAGTTAATTAATTAGTTTAACATTCATTTATTAATAACCAATTATTTATTAATTAATATTTAAATATTCTTTTTTTTTCGAAAAATTAGAAAAAAAAGTTAAAAATGTTTTGGCAAAAATAAAAATTCAATTGTTTGTTTTTTAGTGTTAGTCAGTGTCAGTTTAGTAATGAAATTAATTAAATGATTAATTAATTAAATAATTAATCAATCAATCAATCATATACTGAAGATCAATTAATAGAAATAAAATCAACTGAACAAGAATAAACTTTTCAATTAAAAATTTCAAAACATACATGTCCCACGCACTGTGGTCAATGTTGAGGAAAGATGGTAAGTTTTCTGCTAAATCTGAAATATTTAAAAGGAGTTTTAATTTAATATAAAACAAATGATTTACCTTACAAATTTTTTTTATTTAGAAGAAAAAAACAAAATAATTAATTAAAATGTTTTATAAGAAGATAAGAACTGATAGGATCATAGAATTAGTCAAGAAAGTGAAATAAACCAAAATTAAATAATTAAATATTAAAAAAAGTTATAAAATAAATTATAATTTAAAATTATAATATATTATTGCTTTTTCATTCAATTATTATTATATCATTAGCAGTGATTAGTAGTTTTAATTTAATTAAAATTAATAGTACTCAATTAAATTTTAATTAGTAAAATAAAAAAAGAATTGAAAAAGTTGAAATTTTCAGAAACGTACAGTTACAGTAGTATCCTTTGATGGGGATGGCATCCTCACTCAATCGATATTCATTAAGTTTCTGTTGGCAAAGTTTGTTCCAGAAACCCGGATCCATACAGCTAGAGAATGGGAGAAACTTCACATTTTTTAACTCCTGAGTGTCGGTTTTTTTCTTTTTATCTTCATCATCCATATTATTCGCCATGTTTGGAAATGTTTAAAAATGGAAATTACAAATTTTTTAAACTTTAATTAACACTTAGTTTATTCTAGTTATGTGGTTTAAAATAAAAATTTACCATTAAAAAACATGAAAAGTGAATTTAAGTTTGTTTAAAAGTAAACAAAAATGTTTAATAGTATTCTCCACATAACTAGAGTGCGAAAGAATGTGTTTATATATTTGAATTAATTAACTATTTGCTTGGTATTATTTTTTGATGTTCAACATTAGATAACCGTAAATGTGAGTATTTTTTCTAACGTATGTAAAATGGTAACTAACTAAAATCCGGCCGAGCCCAAATCCGGCGCATCCCTAATAAAAATTATACATATAAATAAATAAATATATATATATATCGTGTGAAACATGTAAAAATTATATATATATATATATATATATATATAAATGTATATCATGTGAAACATAAAAATATACCACATCTAAAATAAATAAATGAAATTTTAAAAATATAAATGACATGAAAAATTGAAAACGCCGTTATTCAAAAAGTTAATTGAAACGGCATCTTTCGTGAGTAGCATTTAGTGGTAAGCTCCCTCGCCACGTCAAGGCAGCTACTCATTGAGGGAGATGTTAGAATGAACAAAAACCCAAATAAAATGTTAACGCAAAAAACTATGTATGCATGTTTGCTTTTGGTTGTATATGTTTAAATGAGTTAATGTTGTTTGTTTCTGTATACAATGTATGTTTACAGTGTGTGCGAACAAAAATCACAATAAAAATAAGTAAGAAGTCCTGGCTTACCTATATCTATTAAACTCATCTCACCTACCTGAAGTCATTTAACTCGGTCCCTAGCTTACTTAACGGCTTTTGACTCAGCTCATACTTTAAATCACTAAGAGTGGGAAAAGAAAAGATGAGAATTAGGAGACAAATATCACATCATAACACCGAATGTATGTGTATGTGTGTATGTATGTATGTGTTTGTGTATACATGTACACGTGTTTGTTAAAAAACGAAACTATGTTAATAAACCAAACCATGTTCATGTAGAGTTAATTATGCTAACAAATTCAACTATGTTAAACAAAGCCATGTTAACAAACTTCTATGTTACTAAACTACGTTAATAGAACAAAGTATGTCAAAAAGCTAAAGTATGAACCATCATAACTATCATCATAACAACAAACATAAAAGCCATCATAACTATCATCATCATCATAAAATCATTCATAATATCATCATAAAAGCCATCACAACTATCATCACAACGATAATCATAACTATCATCATAAAAGCCATCACAACTATCATCATAACGATCATCATAACAATCATCATAAAAGTCATCATAACTATAATTACCACCATCATTATAACCACCATCATAACTGTCATCATCA